AGAAGGAAGCATGGAGGGGCATGTACCCTCCAGATTTGTGCATGGGGTGGGGTGGGGTGGATGCGAGCTGGCTGCTGTGGGCTCAGGGTTCCCTGCTCTGCTGCCCTCCCCAGGAGCCTCTGCAGAAGAGCGGGGTGGGGAGTCTCAGTGTCACTGCCAGGGGCCACATGCTGGTCACGCTGCCATGGTGAGGTGCCACCTGCCCACTTGGCAGCAGCAGGGGGAACAACTCTACACTGCCGATGCTGCTGGGAAGGGAGGGGGCACCTTGTCTGGCGGTGCAGCCAGCATGGGGTCCCGGCAGCAGTACTCCATGCCCTCCCAAGCTGGGTCCTGCCCGCTGGGCTGCAGAGGCGCCCAGAGGGAAGGCAGCAGGGTGGGGAGCCCTGAGCCAGTGGTGGGCAGCCTGCATCTGTTCCTGCCTCCACGGGCTCTGTTCCAGCCATGCCACCCACAAGGGAAGGGGGTAGGAGGTGGGGTCGGGCTCTGTGCTCTGCTCTGGTCACAGCAGCCACTGCTTCTGGCGTGCGGCAGCTGGGGTTCAGGCGCTGCTTGGCAGGGAGGGCAGGGAGCTGTGGGCCCTGGCTATGGTTCCTGTTCCCACAGCTTTGGCAGGTGGGGGCCTCCTCCAGCAGGGCTGGGAGGGGGGCAGGGGGCTGCGGGTATTGAGTGAGGGCACCAGCAGGGCTGGGTGGTTGTGGATGGGGAGTGACGGGCAATGAAAGGACCAGAGGATGGTGGGTTGGGAGTGAGGGGCACCTGGAGTGGGTGGGGGGCTGCGAGTTGGGAGTAAAGAGCCATACTGAGGAAATGGGGCTATAAATGGGGTCATGCCAAGAAAAAGGTTGGGAAGCCCTAGATTAGGAGCACCCCCTGGCTTGTTAACAGAGGACCCACAGCTTCCTTGGTCCTTCTTTTCTGGGCAACAAACTTATGAAACTTCTTGTTGTCCTTAACCTCCTTTGCCAGGTACAGCTCATTCTTTGTCTTTGCCTTCCTGATCTTGTCACTGCAGATTCTTGCTATTTCTTGGTACACATCCTTAGTGCTCTGACCAGTCTTACAGTGCATATGTTTTCATTTTGCATTTGAGGCAGTTTAAAAGCTTCTTGTGTAGCTAATTTGGTTTCTTGCCATTCTTCTTGTGCTTTCATCATGTTTGGGACAGCTTCTTGTTGGGCTTCCAATACCCCTTAGAATCATACCCCTTAGATCAGCAGTTCCCAAACTGTGGGTCCCGAGCCCAAATGGGATAGAAAAATCAGCAGATGGGGTCCACGGGTGGGGGCTGTGGGTTGGGAGTGGGGGGCTGTATGAGGAAATGGGGTCATAAATGGGGTCATGCCGAGGAAAAGTTTGGGAACCACTGCCTTAGACGTTCCCAGCCCTCTTGGGCACCATCATTCTGCTGATAAAGTGCTGATCAGTATTTTAAATGCCTCTTCTCCAAACATAAATGAAAAAGTTGACATAGGTTTTTCCATTTCTCTTAATGGTTTGTGTCACAGAAAATAAAAAGGAAAAACTGTCGTGTATTTTATGCTGGCCCCAGCAGCCAACATAACATCTTCCTCTTTTTTTTGTATGCCAGCCACTCCAGAGAAGAATTGAAAAGTCTTTTCTTATTAAATTGCATGCTTCCCTTTTCAGATGACGTTATTCAACATCAGCTCGTGCAAGACTATAGTCCCGGACCGCCCCAAATGGAGGAAGAGTCTGCTGCAAGGATATCAGTACTCTGAAACCTTATAGCAACCACAACAGGAGATGGAAAAGTGGGAGTGGCAGAAACAGCGTGTCACGGGCCTAATCAAGAATCCAAAGCCACCCACCCCACACAGAAACACGTGCCCAAGTTGCAACAGAGCCTGTTGATCCTGGATTGGCCTCATCAGCCATCTTCGGATCCTCAGATAAGGCAATCATGGAAAACAATCATCCTTGACTGTGAGGGATTGCCAATGATGATGATGATTCCTTCTACCTATATAGTCCCTGATTGAGGAGCACAGCTGAGTACATGCTTAAA